TGTGTACTGCAAACACATACCAGCTTCATCACTGTGTCTGTCACGCGACTCTGTTCCCCTTTCGTGCTCTGTCTTTACATTTATTTTGAAAGATGAAGCTCGCGATTATGGTAAGGGGCGTTACATTTCCGACGAGTGCTTGCGGTGTTCGGCCAATCACAATGCACTGGGTCAGCTGGCCAATCAGAGCAGACTGCGCTTGTCGGAAGGAGGGACTTTGTAGAAAACAAAGCGTTTGAGAGAGGCGGGGCATAGAGGACCTACAATAATGTACAGTATTTGAAAAATAATGTGTTTTTTGAACGTTAAAGCTTGTCAACATATTCTGTTACACCAAATACACAAAATAATGATCTTTAAAAAAGCATCATATGACCCCTTTAAAAGGTTTTTTTTAAGTCTTTCATGCTCACCAAGGCTGCATTTATTTGATCAAAAATACAGCAAAAACAGCAATATTGTGAAATATTATAAAGATTTTAAATATTTTCTATTTGAGTATATTTTAAAATATAATTTATGTATTATAATGCAAAGTTTAATTTTCAGCATTATTACTCCAGTCTTCAGTGTCACATGATCCTTCAGAAATCATTCTAACATACTGATTTGCTGCTCAAAAACATTTTTTTATTATCAATGTTGAAAACATTTGCACTGCCTAACATTATAAATGTCTTTACTGTCACTTTTGATTAATTTAATGCATCCTTGCTCAATTTCTTTTGAAAAAATGAAAAATAAAATCACTCTTACTGATCCCAAAATTTGAATGGTAGTGTATTTTCTCTGAAAAGTCTTCTTAGCTTACACCATTTTAGATATTTTTATTGCATGGAAAACAATACTTTTTTTTGTGCAATGTGTACGCATGATTATATTTGCAAAAGCAAATATACTATCAATAAAGGAAACAACTTTCAGAAAGACCGAGATATCATAAATTGGAGAACAATCATCAGAGACAGTGTAACAGCATCATGCTTGCAATGTTATTTTGGAGGTCATAGTTCAGCTGCAGGCATCTTGTACCGCATCTCTCATTGACTCTCTCCTACAGTACATTGTATTGCTCTTTTCAAGCCCTCCTGCCTGGTTGTCATGGAAACATATCTGCTTTTTGATTTGATTTAGCTAAAGCATGCTACAACGTTCATTCGTTTAAATGTCAGCATGGCTTCCCTGTAGAGAAGGAGATTCATTTATGCACGAGGCTCGGTTTTGTTCTCTCTCCTTTAATGTACCTCTGTTACCGCTGGTCCGCAATAGTATCTACCTCTATTGCCGGGACAAAATTCTCTCAAATGAATGTCCCATAAACTTTTAATATGCCAGCGCTGTGTCTGAAAGTCCTCTGATGACCTCATATGGAGCAGATTGTGATTAGAAATGATTGTTGATCTGTTTTAGACTCCCTCTGACCGTATTCCTCTGAAACTGCCGACATGAATGTAGAAAATCTCCCCTGGAAAGTTTGCTTACATTGTATGACTCATGCATGAGCTGGAAGGGGGAAGGGTCCGTCCATGTGTGTGTGTAAGTGTGTAAGTGTGTGTTTTGGAGTTAGTCAGAGTGGAACCAGCAATCACAGTTCATGGGAAAGGAAAGAACAGGCAAGATTTCAGATGTGACGACACCCTTCTTGAACACACACACACATACACACACACAGACTTCATTTGATTATAGTTGGACGCAAGGGAGGTTTTGGAAAGCAGGAAGGGTATTTCAGGAAACTCCTAAATCGTTACTCCAGGCACAACTTGGCAGCACGTGATTGGCTAGCACTGTATTCACATGACTTTGCTGTGCTGTGGAGACTGGGGTCCTGTAGCTGGGAACACAAAGAAAAAAGGCAGAGAATTTGAGGCAGATTCAGTGACCTTGCACATAAATCAAACATTTCAGAGGTATGACCGGAGAGAAAGTTCAGTAGGACAAAAGAGTGTAAAGAGAAAGAGAACAATGTGAAAACACCAAAGGTGTCTAATCTAGTTATAGAACTCCAGTGTCTGTTTTAAACATGCACTTGAACACTTTCTGTGGCGTTTATACAGGATGCGTTCTTCCATTTCGTAGTGTTTTAATATGCTGTGTATCAAGTTAAACATTGTAGAAACATGTTGAAATCCGTGCTCCATTTCATTGTGTTCAGTGTAGTTAAACGAAAGAACGCTTCCTGTGCGAACGGCCCATTAATTGTGCTGTAATCAACAAACCTAATATATGAGCTCCATCTGCTGGTTGAAGAGTGTAAATCACTTTTAATAGCCTTTTTGTTCAGTAATGTTTTATGGATAATGATGATTTAACCCTAAAATGCTTCGAGAACCGTTTAAAAGTTTTGGGGTTGGTAAGATTTTTGAAAGTTTTTTATATATAGTAAAATGGTAATATTGTGAAATATTGCAATTTAAAAGAACTTTTATATTTTATTTTAAAATGTAATTTATTCCTTCCTATCAGAGAAAAGCTGAATTCAGCAACATTACTCTTCAGTGTCACATGATCCTTCAGAAATCATTCTAATATGCTGATTTGCTGCTCAAGAAACCGTTAATTGTTATCATAAGTGTTGAAGACGGCTGCTTAATATTTTTGTGGAAATTGCGATACATTTTTCAGCTTTCTTTGATGAATAGAAAGCTTAAAAGTATAGCATTGATTTGAAATAAAAATATTTTGTAACATAAACGTCTTTTGATGCTGTCACTTTTTATCTTAAATTCTTTCGAAATACATAAATAAATTATGTTTGTATCAACACTCACATTTGTAGTATAATTTAGTCCATTTGTTAATGTTGGCATATTAAACATCATGTTTATGTTCAAATGTATATATATTGTAATAATGTTTTAGATTTGTATGTTCTTATTTATATAAGAAATTAAATAGCAGTTTAAATAGCAACAAAAACTAGTTTTCATTTAGCAGATATTAGTACATAATATAAATGATCGTTAAAATGTATTTATTTACTGTTATAAATGGTTTAAAAAGGTAGGTATTATGTATTTATTAGCAGTGTTGGGAAGGTTACTTTGGATAAGTTAAATAAGTTACCTTATTAGAAGTTTAACTATTTTAATTACTTTAGTAAAGTAATGTAACTGATTACATTTGATTACTTTTCTAAAATTAAATTTCTAAAGACATTTCTAAATTAATCATTTTCAAACATTTAGGGCAGGCAGAGTTAACCTTAAAGTAGTACTCAACTCTGATTACTGTCAGACTTTCAAAATCCTTCATCACTTGAATTAAAGAGTATTATTAAAGATTATAATAATTTAATTTTAAAGCACAGCCTCCACAAAATCAGACTTTAGTGCCTCTTTTTAGTTTAAGATCGTTCTGAGGTTAAATACAGATTTAAAATCATAACAAGTTATAGTTTAATAGCTACAATACTGTTTTTGAAATCAAATCTTTGCATAGCTATGACAGAAAACATTGGTGTCTCATATTTTAAAGCAGTCAATGCAATTTGGGAAAGAGTTTAAAAGTTTTGGGGTTGGTAAGATTTTTGAAAGTTTTTTATATATAGTAAAATGGTAATATTGTGAAATATTGCAATTTAAAAGAACTTTTATATTTTATTTTAAAATGTAATTTATTCCTTCCTATCAGAGAAAAGCTGAATTCAGCAACATTACTCTTCAGTGTCACATGATCCTTCAGAAATAATTCTAATATGCTGATTTGCTGCTCAAGAATGGTTTCATGGTTTAAAAAGGTAGGTATTATGTATTTATTAGCAGTGTTGGGAAGGTTACTTTGGATAAGTTAAATAAGTTACCTTATTAGAAGTTTAACTATTTTAATTACTTTAGTAAAGTAATGTAACTGATTACATTTGATTACTTTTCTAAAATTAAATTTCTAAAGACATTTCTAAATTAATCATTTTCAAACATTTAGGGCAGGCAGAGTTAACCTTAAAGTAGTACTCAACTCTGATTACTGTCAGACTTTCAAAATCCTTCATCACTTGAATTAAAGAGTATTATTAAAGATTATAATAATTTAATTTTAAAGCACAGCCTCCACAAAATCAGACTTTAGTGCCTCTTTTTAGTTTAAGATCGTTCTGAGGTTAAATACAGATTTAAAATCATAACAAGTTATAGTTTAATAGCTACAATACTGTTTTTGAAATCAAATCTTTGCATAGCTATGACAGAAAACATTGGTGTCTCATATTTTAAAGCAGTCAATGCAATTTGGGAAAGAAATCAATCATATCGGTGTGTGAAAATATTCCGATTTAAACCCCCTTTGTAATCATTGGCATTTTCAGAAGTAACTGTAACTTAATTACATATTTTTTTCTCAGTAACTGTAACAGATTACGGTTACATTTATTTCGTAATTAAATTACGTAACGCCGTTACATGTTTATTAGATATGCATTTGCACCTTGTGGGACACACATTTGTTCTAGCATGAGAGGTTGCTGTTCCAAATCTGTAGTTGTCCTAGTTTTGAAGGAGAACCGCTAGTTGTCAGGGAAACTGGTGGCAGGAGGCTCTCTCAGGAGTGTTTGGAGTGGAGAGAGTTCGGTCATTTTCGGAGATAGTTATCAATCTTCTGTCCCCAGACACCGACAAACACTGTGTGTGAGAGAGAAACAGCAAGTGTAAGTGTGTTTGCCTATGTTTGTGGTGAAAGTGAATTTGTGGTCCTATACCTGTGCTAGTTTCTGTTTCGAGAGCTTTTTAGTTTAGTGGCTGGTTTCATGAGATAGCAAACCACAAAACATCTTTTACAAAGAAAAAGTGAATGTTATGCATACTAAATATAGAGATGCAAGTTCGCGTTTGTATATTATTATGATTAGGTGTTAACTGCACATTAAAAAATATTAAAGTTAGCCGCAGTCGTCCTCTGGTGTTGAGAACCTGTATGTGCACAAACTTATTTTATTTCTGCCCAGTACCTAATTAGAGTTTGCAGCTGTGTGATTTATTGATGGTGTTTATTTCTGTGTGTTTCAGCAGGAGGCTCAGAGCAAATCAAAGGTGTGTGCTAATGTGTTCTGTGGTGCTGGGAGAGAGTGTGCCGTGAATGAGAAAGGAGAGCCCAGCTGTCTGTGCATTGAGGTAAGGCCTCTTTTCAAAGAAATTCATGAAAACCTTCTGGAAGAAATATGCAGGCTTTTGACTAGTGAACTTCCTTGACTTTTATTCCTTTGGATGACTGGATGAGGAATTTTAAACATTTCAGAGCGACTGCAGTCAATGCACTTACTACGAAGCAATTTCCAGCTGATGAAATATTTAAAGCTGAGTAAATCTAGAAAAAAAAGGTATATTGATGCTGGAAATTTGAATGGCTTTCAGTAAGTTCCGTGTCGGGACTTTCTAGGGTTTTGAAATTCTCTGACATTTTTGGTCTTCTATGACTGGGGTAACACTGAATTGTGAAAAGAAGTGCATTTTAGCCTACTTCTAAAAACAGATATACTCATTGTGGAAATAAAATCATTTAAAAAAAATATATATACTTAAGTACAAACTGAATGTAACATTTACAGACATTTAATTGCATGTTATTTGCAAATAAATGAAATCTATATTAAATGCAACTAGCTGAACTTAAGAGTGCTTTTTAGCATACTTAATAGGTCATACATACATCTGTATATGTAATTTCATAATTGCTTGAATTTGCTTCTATTCTATGACTCTGAAATATGGTTAAAGTGTACTAAACTAAAATAAATAATTTTATGCTATTTCTGTTGAAACTTGTATGTCATGTATTGAAATATATTTTTATTACACATTTTTAATTATGAAATTGCAGTTTAGTATGCATTATGCTTTCATTATAGAATACCCTTATAATGTATTATAAATACGGACTTCATAGAAAGTGTTACCGTAAAACTTTTAATTTGACATTATTCCAAAGTGCACTTAAATGTTTTAGGAAACATTCATGAAAGTGTGCTCTCTTTAAGACTTATCTTTCATTAATAATATCTGCTCTTACAGTTTTCTTTAATATACTGTACTTTTAAGATTTTCATGTACACTACAAGTGCACTTCTTTCACCATCAATAAATCCTCACCATTAGAAACTTTTCCCTTTCCTGATGTTTTTCCACCGTCATAGCAAATATTAAGTTGATCTGCGTTGCTGATGCATTATTATTAGGCTTATTGTTAGAGTAGTTCTGAACAATGTCCTGAACAAAGTGTCAAACAGTTTCATATAATAACAGTAGTGTGTGTGGGATTGGGGTCATGTGTGATATATATACAGTGGGGAAAAAAAGTATTTAGTCAGCCACCAATTGTGCAAGTTCTCCCACTTAAAAAGATGAGAGAGGCCTGTAATTTTCATCATAGGTATACCTCAACTATGAGAGACAAAATGAGAAAAAAAATCCAGAAAATCACATTGTAGGATTTTTAAAGAATTTATTTGCAAATTATAGTGGAAAATAAGTATTTGGTCAATAACAAAATTTCATCTCAATACTTTGTTATAATATACCCTTTGTTGGCAATGACAGAGGTCAAACATTTTCTGTAAGTCTTCACAAGGTTTTCACACACGGTTGCTGGTATTTTGGCCCGTCGTGTGTCTACTCCGTTCAGCAGATTATACAGCAAAAATATTCCATATAACACACAGACATTCAGCCTATTGTCCCGCCACCAGCCGGCCCCATGCTTTCATATTATTACAGGCTTAATGTGGGCTTCCAGCCAGAGGCGTGAGAAACATTTAACTACAGCCACCGTGTAACATTCAGTCGTCATCCTTTTAATGTATATATAAATTTTTCTTGCTTGCAAGGTTCAGATTTTGATGTGGCAGTTAATAGGAAATAGTTTAAATTGTTGTGTTGTTAACAGTATGTTGTGTTCTCCTGCAGCAATGCAAGCCTCATAAGCGCTCAGTGTGTGGCAGTAATGGAAAAACATACCGTAACCACTGCGAGCTGCACCGTGACGCCTGCCTTACTGGACTCAAGATCCAAGTAGCCCATGACGGACACTGCAAAGGTGTGTGGAGACTAACATGCAGGAAAACAGGAATGAACTGCAGGCATGCAAGCTAATATAGACTGGAAATTCCTTTCTGCTTCCTGTGGAAATTATTAAATGTGCATTGATTTTGCAAGAACTTGCTAAGATAGCAAAGATAGCCAAGATAGAAATATTATTCTTAGCTTAAGAACTAAGCTAAGATTTGTGAGTGCCTCAAGTCTGATCATAACTTGTTATCATTACATTATAATAAAGATACAATATAATCTTTAGAAAACAATTAATCCGCAGGGTGTTTGCAGTGGTAATTAATATCTCTGGAGAAATTTTAGTTACCAGTTGTTAAACATGCATGCACAAATATCATCACTTAGCAAACAAAACTCACCAGCAGTGAGCATTATTTTAGTTAAAAAGTGTAACTATGAAAAAAAGGACTACAAAAACATCACAAAATAAACCAATTAGAACAAAAATGCACTATGATTTAACCTAAGAACCAACATAGTACTATGGATATCACAAGATTATAGTTGTAAAAAATAAATGCCCTCAAAAATAAATGCTCATGGTTTCGAAGCGAGCTTGTGGAAAATGTTCACATCCTTATCATTCATTGGTGTAAATGCATTCATGTAAATATCAATTGTAATTGGCAATAATGGTTTTCTTTTTTCATAATGGTCATATATACACACTACTGTTCAAAAGTTTGAGCACATTAAGATTTTTTTATGTTTTTGAAAGTAGTATCTTATGCTCAGCAAGACTGTATTTATTTGTTCAAAAATACAATAAAACTGCAATATTGTAAAATATTACAATTTAAAATAACTGATTGAATATGTTTTAAAATGTAATTTATTTCTGATGCAAAGCTGACATTTCAGCATGATTTCTTACTACTGTACTCGTCAGTCGACCTCTTAGACTTACTGCCATCTCAGCAGAGAGCGTTGGACGTTGGACATACGGTGAAATCCAGGTCTCATTCTGATATCATGTTATTCTGACCCTTATATTCTTGCATTACGACATGTTTGAAGTGACGCTGTAACCTCTTATCTATATTTGATGCAAGCAGCTGCTCAAGCAGCTGATAACCAAGGGAAGATTCAGCTATAACTGCATGCAGATTGTTCAGCGGTGAGGCATCGCTCCACTCACAGTTATCTTGTTTATCTTGTCTCCTACAGAGAAGAAGCAGGAGAAAGCCGCGGCCAGCCCAGGTGAGTTGTATTATGATCGCGGGCTCAGAGCCAAGACTCTACTTATCTGCCTGCTGCACAGATTACCATTAATTACCAACTTATTATGAGCTCGTAGATACTGAGAGCAGACATAACCTCTCTGGCATGGCTACAGTGGAATTACTTGTGCACTGTTTAGATGTAGAAAATGTATTTAACCTCTTAGGATCCAGTTTTTACTATTTAGTCTTTGCCGTTGTTATGAAAATGAAGACACTGTTAATTTCACCAACCAATTTTAACTAATTTTGTTTAACATGCTTTTTGTAACAATTGATGGATGAAATATTGAAACAAATGTTTATTAAGATCTTTACATGGTGTATTTTTGTATGCACACTAGTATACATGTATGTCATAGCAGTGCTTACACTTCATAGGTGTTTAAAACAAACATGTTCTTTAGCATTTTGCCTCAGAAAATGTAACTTCCATTTAAATAGTTAATTTACTAACCAGAATTCAAACACAAAATTACAGAATGATTTGTTTATATAATTTGGTAACACTTTAAAATAAGGTTTGATTAGTTAATGTTAGTTAATCCATAAAATAACTTTAACTATTAATGAACAATACATTTGTTACAGTATCTATTGATCTTAGTTAACATAAGTTTATACAAATACAGCTGTCTATTGTTTGCTTATATGTGTTAGCTCAGGCCCATTAAGATAATATTAACAGATTTGACTTTTGATTTAAATAATGTATAAGTGTTGAAATTAACAAATTAAGATTAGTAAATGCTTTTAAAATATTTTAATTATTAATTAATGTTAAATAATCTAGTTAGCAGATGGAACCTTACTGTAAAGTGTTTTTTATTCCTGATTTATTCCACATTTTGTGTAAATGCTGTTCTCAACTTTACACATACTAATTTTTCGCATTAACATTTTTATATTCTATAATACATTACTTGTATTTTATCTTATATTTTACATTTTTATATAAAAACATTTTGGGGGGTATCTTAAAATACAAAAAAAGGAGAGTATCATATATGTGAAATGTAAGTCACTTAAAGACAGCATGGAACAAATTTATACTATGCTCTGTAAACTTGCTATGGTTTTCCTGAGATATTTATGTAATAAAGTATTTTAAATTACAAATAAATATTTACAAAACAACATTACAGGATTACAAAATAATATACCTACACTTAAAAAAAGTCTATAAGTTTTTTTCTTACAGTTTACTTTTTTTCTTAAAATAGTTTTAATTAAAATATCAGACATTTATGAAATCAGACATGATATCACACATTTTAATACCCAAGGATAGGAAGTTGGCATCGCCAAACTCCCAAACATTTCGAAGAAGTCCTCTTCAAGATGTGCGAGTGGATCTCATTAATCAAACGTTCTCTGGTGAGGACAGAAATTAGTTGCTGGATCCTAAGAGGATAAACTAAATCTGACACATCCATTAACATGACTGATATGTATTTCTTTCTATTATCCTCTTGTCTGGTGGCGTGTGTGTGTGTGTGTGTGATGTCTGAAGTTGTGTGTTATGTTGCTGACCGTAATGAGCTGCGCAGACGTGTGATCGACTGGCTGCAGACCGAGGTTGTTCCAGATGGCTGGTTCACTAAGGGCTCCAACTTCACTGATATCCTCCTCAAGTATTTCAAGGTGTGTGCAGTCATTTACAACATTAAACCAGCAATAATTTGTATAGAGAAGCATTTTAAGTCACAACCCACAGGCAACAACATTTTCATGCACTGGTCAGTTTTGAGATTTTGGGCTATTTGTGTCTTATAATGTGTTGTTTCAGAGTTGAGAAAACATGAAAAATACATTTCAATCATGACAACTCTCTGAATATTTTAGCATGGTGATAGATATGACAATGTTAATGTATTTGGTCTTGGCGGAACAGATCTGCTACGCTGCTGCTGAATTGCTGCTGCTGTTGGTTATTGCTGTAGTTGTAGTGCTGTGAGTATTTAAGACATACTGCTGCTGCACAAATAGCATATAAAATAACCTGTAGCAGATCCAGAAGTGGAGCTGGGGAAGGTGAAGGGTTTCAGAGAACTCTGAAAGCATGCTGCAGGAATCTCAAGTGAATGCTAGCCATCCATACAAATGCAAGGCAGTAAGTTCATTGGCTGCATATGCAGTATGAACCAATCAGCTTGTGCCAAGTCGTTTAACTCTCTGAATATCATCAGTTACGTTAACACCCGTCAGAATGCGCCATCTAGAGTTTCATGACTGAACTATATATATTTAAGTGTTTATTATATGTATCTATTTTTATCTGAAGAGTTCAGTTACAATGCATAACTTCAAAGGTCGTTTTCACTTCAGTAGCACTTAAACCAAACTTTATTATTATTATAATTTTTTTTTTCAGTTTTTTTAATATTCTGAATTTTTTTTACGAGGGGGTTTGTTCATGTATTATTCACCTGACATTAACATTTTATTCCTAAAAACATGGTGCATATGTATTTATTTTCTTGCTGTTTTGAATCTGGCTTTCAAGTGATCTTGAACATTATGCAAATTAGTGCATATTTAATTAGACAGTTAGATTACTTATTTGCATATTTATGCCATTTCATTACAAAAAAAATGTCTGCAATTCTTAATGTAATCAATCAACTAGTGAAGTATGCTTGTGTTTATTAGTTATTTTTTTACCCAATTTTTACCCTATTCATCTGGGTGTCTTGGCTAGACATTTCAAAAATGTTCTCAAAATAACATATAAAGCCCAACAATATGCAGAATTATTAACATCATAACAGAAGCAGAACATGATATGTGAACATTTTGGTTTCCAAATGTCTATAAATGTACAAACACAAATGTTTGATGACTGACTGAAGCATATTCAGTGTATTTCAGTGAAAGAAATGACATTTTTTGCAGCATAAAAGCAGCCATTTGCTTTGGTCCCTTCATCGTCGGGGCTTTGTGTATATTACCCTCCAGCAGGCAATCTCTGCGCCCTCCTGCCGCTCTTCAAATTGCCTTCAGGACGTGCCACATCATTTCTCTGACAGGCGTGTATAAATACACCTAAAACGACTTCTGTTTGCATAGAAGCAGTTCAGGCAGTCATGCTTTTTTGATGTTTCAATATTAGCTCACCTTTGCACTCAGAGAGCTGAAGAACAAGCCTGTACAGCTGTCAGCACAATCCATACATCTGACTGAACACTATCACCAAACCAATAATCCATATGCTTATCAAATCAGCTTTATCTGTTAGACATCTTTCTCTAAAATAACTAAAGGGACAGTTCACCCAGAAATTAATTTCTGTTATTATCTGTATGACTTTCTTTCTTTTGTGGAACACAAAAATATATATATATATTTTTCCATACAGTGGAAGTCAGTGGGGTCAAATGTTGATTTGGACCCCACTGACTTTAATTGTATAGACAAAAAGAGCAGAAACATTACACAAAATATCATCTTTTGTCTTCCACAGAAGAAAGCATTTTTTCAGGTTTGTAACAACATGAGGGTGAATAAATCATGACAGAATTGTCATTTTTAGGTGAACTATTCCTCCAGTTGGTGGAAGTTTGACTCAATCATAAACATGTCCTTTACCTCTTGTTTATTGGTGAACATGTCAAAATCAGCTGTACCAGGCAAACTGTTGACAAACTGCTGAGATAAGATTAAACTGACAGCACGATGTGTAAGTTTCAAAGTAGCTGATGTCTGTGGTCACATGATCACTGGTCTATGTGTCTGTATAACCTGAAAACTTTTCTATGGCTGTTTTAGGTGTCAGTGCATGTTTATCACTATAGATCTTTTTTACAAAATGGGATGACATGTTTCCACAGTTATTAACATTGGAAATATATATGTTTCAAACACAACGACTGTGGGACTGATGGCAAATTTGACATCTTTCTCTCTTCTGACAAGTGCAATCGATCTCTCGATGTATTTCCTCTTTTATAAAGTCATAGAAACACTGCCATTGATTTATTTTTTTTTTGCTATTGGAGCAAACGTGAACACAATATTATTTGTTGTAGTTTCCATTCCCCACTATAGAAGTTTCCCCAAATATGATGACTTTTTTTCTTTTGAGAGCCCCGGAAATGTGAAAAGGGTCCATATGTGACCCTGGACCACAAAACCAGTCATAAGGGTCAAGTTTTCGAAATTGAATTCATCTGAAAGCTGAATAAATAGGCTTTCCATTTTCTGTTAGGATAGGACAATATTTGGCCGAGATACAACTATTTGAAAATCTGGAATCTGAGGGTGCAAAAAAATCTAAATACTGAGAAAATCACCTTTAAAGTTATCCAAATGAAGTTCTTAGCAATGCATATTACTAATTACGTTTTAATATATTTACAGTAGGAAATTTACAAAATATCTTCACGGAACATGATCTTTACTTAATATCCTAATGATTGTTGGCATAAAAGGAAAATCTATAATTTTGACCCATACAATGTATTTTTGGCTATTGCTACAAATATACCCCAGCGACTTAAGACTGGTTTTGTGCTCCGGGGTCACATATATTGTAGCACACAATTTGGCTTCTTCTCTCATCTAGACCTGCTGCCATACACACATTTGCAGATGACTCAATAGATGATCAGATCATCAGACACATCAGTTATCAGAGCAAACGGCACAGAGAGCAGATGACCTCAGCGCTCAGAGTCCCAATTGCATTTCAGTCTCATTTCCTTTTCCTCTCTTCAAATAATATACATATGATAACCCCACTGAAACTGCTACCTGACTGAAACTGAAGTGTGCAAAAATGATTTTTTTTTTGTCTCTTATAGAATTCTGATAACGGAGACTCTCAGCTGGATTCTGCAGAGCTGCTCAAGTTCATTCAGCACAATGAAACAGCGGTTCAGATGAACTCTTACGCTGAAGAAGAGAACAACCGCTTGCTCAGGTTAAAACACACACACACAGTCACATAATCACACATGCGCATATGTACACAACCGTTCAAAAACATGGGGTCAGTAAAAATTTTATTAAAAAAAATTTTTTTACAAACATTTTACTTGAAATAAATGTTGTTCATTTTGAACGTTCTCTTCATCAAATAAAATCAATCAATAAAATAAAAATATTAAAAATGTGTCCACAAAAATATTAACCTGCATAACTGTGATAATAGTAAGAAATGTTTTTGAGCAGCAAATCAGCATATTAGAATGATTTCTGAAGGATCATGTGACACTTAAGACTGGAGTAATGATGCTGAAAATTCAGCTTAAGCAGGAATAAATTACATTTTTAAATATATTAAAATAGAAAAGTAAAAATAATATTTCACCATAATACTGATTTTAGTCAGTTGATCAAATAAATGCAGTTTTACTGACCTCAAACTTTTGAACAGTAGTTTACAAAATGCAGTCTGTTGTGACATATATAAAAATAAACTAAAGTTAAATAGAGATATTAAAAACAACAACTTATAGAAATGACAAAAACAAAACTACTAAAACCAATTCAAAATATACTATAATAATATATAAACAATACAAAAAAATAATCCTGCTCAGAACATAACCTCTGTGTGTCACAGGATATAAAAAGAATATACTAGTGAAGAATATAAAGATCAGAAGAAAGATATATGACATTTATTCTGTTGACAGTAAACTATAGCATTCATAGCAGCATTGCTGTGTCATATCAGATCAGAATCAAAAGCAGATGTCCTGATTTGACTTGCCATGACAGTTGAGAACCACACTCTTCAGTCATATTCATTTACCCCAGTTTCTCCTGGATGGTTGTAGCAGCATAGTCATTCCACAGTAATTTCCTGTTTTGTATTTGGGAATCTGGGACACAGGCATACAGTTTTTTGGTTGCAGACACAGCCATGCAATGCAAGCCTTTCAAATGGTGATTTTCAGACAGCTTCTGCTGATTTCAGCTTAGTTTATATAGTGTTGGTAATCAAGATAAAATTTTTGGAGCCTCATTTTGAAAATCATTGTGGTAACATGGTTTGTGTTATCACAGAGTGTGCTCTGGAAGATGAGACCTATGAGGATGGAGCCGAGACACAGGTGGAGTGCAACCGCTGCGTCTGCGCATGTGGAAACTGGGTCTGCACTGCCATGACTTGTGATGGTGAGTTGAAATCACCAAATTCATGATAGAAAAGGAGAGCGTGGGGTAAGCTGTGCCAGTTTGCTCTCTAGTCAAAGCAAAAGAAGACTGGGACCTAATTATATTTCATGAAGCATCAATAATACAGGCCATAGAAATATGACTTGTAACCCCCGCATGAGAAGTACTGATTCCATTGTATAATAAACTGATAATGAGACCGACTCGCTCAACAGAGAAAACCCCAGTTATCGACACTGATGGGGATCAGGAGATGACTGAAGAGGAATGGACCCGCCGTGTGGCTGAACTCAACAAGCATCAGGTCAGCTGACTGAATTCATTCACAGCAAATTAATCAATAATGTCAATATCTATACTTGAATGTCCTGTCTAATAAAGGCTAAAAATGCCATAAATAAATAAATACAAGAATATTTCATTCAGCACTGGAAAAAAATAAAAAATAAAACACACACTACCAAAAAAACCTAAGAAATTAATATTTACATCTATTCAGCAGTGATTAATTAAATTGATTCAAAGTGGCAAAGACATTTGTAATGTTCCAAAAGAGTTCTGTTTCAAATCAATTATGTTCTTTTATCATTTCTATTCATATTTTAAACTTACTGACCCCAAACTTTTGAACAGAAGTGTAATTTAATCAAATTAAAAAAAAAAAAAAAATTGTGAGTGAAAAATTGTGTTTTATGGTCGGTGGCATAATGTGGTTACTGAATTAATATATTTCTGCAGTCATAAAATTTGTTATATATTTCAGCCCAGCTATTTGAAACTCTGTTTGATCACATTCTAGGGTTACAATTATGCATAAAAACCCTTATACAACACTGATAGTAATGCTGAGATAAAATGCAAAAAAAATACAGCCATCAACATGTTTAAAAATTGTTACTTTATTGTATCATATATCATAAAATAATTATATTAGTGCTACCAGTATTACAACATCAGTATTGTAACTTATTTGTAACATTTGAACTTTTAATTTAGTGCAACATTTTGTGATTGCAACATTTTAGTGCATTTTTCACTAACAACTGCAATTGGATTTTTTTGTATACCTAAATTCACTGTTATCCCACCGGTCACAATTGTGACCATCAACATGTTTACTGATTCTATAAAAAAATTAAAAAAAAATTGTGAGTGAAAAATTGTGTTTTATGGTCGGTGGCATAATGTGGTTACTGAATTAATATATTTCTGCAGTCATAAAATTTGTTATATATTTCAGCCCAGCTATTTGAAACTCAGTTTGATCACATTCTAGGGTTACAATTATGCATAAAAACCCTTATACAACACTGATAGTAATGCTGAGATAAAATGCAAAAAAAATACAGCCATCAACATGTTTAAAAATTGTTACTTTATTGTATCATATATCATAAAATAATTATATTAGTGCTACCAGTATTACAACATCAGTATTGTAACTTATTTGTAACATTTTAACTTTTAATTTAGTGCAACATTTTGTGATTGCAACATTTTAGTGCATTTTTCACTAACAACTGCAATTGGATTTTTTTGTATACCTAAATTCACTGTTATCCCACCGGTCACAATTGTGACCATCAACATGTTTACTGATTCTATGACCACACTCAACAAATTTCAATAATTGTGAATTCATATATTTATACTAGACACCTTAAAGATAATGTGGACCAAAAATCTTTGTCATATCTTTATGCCAAAATACTTTACTAGCCTTTTTTTTGGGACCTTTGATGCAGTTATCATCTTCTTATTGTGCAGAGGAAATAAACTGCTCTAGTCATGTGACAATTTGCACTAACCGTGTGAAACTGAAAATATTTTAAACATCAAGTAAGCTAAGTTTCTCTGTGTGGTGCTGCCTGTGTTTAATCTTCGAAACTGGTCACTTGTGGGCTTCCATTTTAAAGGGGTCATATGATGCGATTTCAATTTTCCCTTTCTCTTTGCTCTTTGAAGTGTTACAAGCTCTTGGTGCATAAAGAAGATCTGTAAAGTTGCAAAGACTAAAGTCTCAAATCCAAAGAGATATTCTTTATAAAAGTTAAGTCAACCACGCCCTCCTAAAACGGCTCAAACTGCAGGTGGTGACCTTCCTCGTGGGCTGTTACATGTCATTTTACTAACTGCGTTTTGATTTTCAGAGTGAAATATAAGCTGATGCAGTCAGTTTGATTGCCTGAGGCAGACTTATAACCTTTTCCCTCCTTCAGGAGACTGTGGAGAAGATGAAGACCAGCACAAAGGAGGTCTAAAACAGGACCAAGACACGAGGAGGGAGATGACGTGGACGAATTCCTCTCCTACTGATCACAGTCAGGATTCCTGATATTATGTACTGTTAATGGAAGAATCACACCGTTTTCTATAGATAGGTTATTACTTTTATTGGTATCCATACCGCATCTATTCTCTGGTTAATGTGTTTTATGTTACGGTTTGCTTTTCTACGTATTTCATTAGCTTTGTTTGTTCTTTTGTGTCTTTGAGTGCTGTAAATTGTTTGATTGTGTCACTCCAAACAGGTCTCAGCACTTTATAATGGGGGCCCTTCCCTTGTTTTATTCACTATTGTTTGATTTTATGTATCATTCTTTATACCATTTATTTGTTTGTCTATCTACAGTTATATGTGGACATATGTTTTTGTTTTTTTTGATTGAGACAATGGCAATAGAAGAAGAAAAAAGAATCGGAAAGTGTTCGAGAGTGATGCTGAGAGAGCAAAACAACACGGGTTCATCCATCAAACTGTGATTTTAGAGCTTCAGAACGAGAGATATCCTTCAGTCAGATGGTAGATACTCGTGCTAGTAGGAGCTTGATGGATATAAATGCAAACTAAATGAAGCTAATCATGGCCGCTCTCTCTTTCACTCTCATCTTGAAGGCAGTCATAGTCTTGAGACCTTTCGTAAAGGTGCTAATGTTAGTATTCCTCTGTTTGCTGCTTTGCTCTCTTGCTTTAGATGGTAGATAACGCTCGGTAGGATATACAACACTAGAAGCAGAGACAGCATGGCTCAGTGGAGAGAGCAGGCAATACCTTTGAATTTAATATCATTTTGGGAAAACAAACCGACCATGTTATTATTACTTGACAAACATGCTTTTTCTGCCATTAGCGACTTGGATTAGAGTTGATCACCTCCATTATTAGAAAACTGCTGCACAGATGCATTGGCTACGCTTGAGCTTGTATTTATATTAGTTGCTAGAGGCAGTTCATGCTGAAACTCTCACGCTGTGCTCAGTCCCACCAAGAAATGAACTAACAAGCCAGATTTATAAGAAATAAATCAGTTGGGACTGAGTACAGATGGAGTGATCTGAAACCAAAGCCTGATGTTTAGGATGTTTAAATTGTTGTACGAAAACCTCCAGGTGTAGCACTACTCTGGACCCAGCAACTACTTTATACCTTTTACGTAAAATAACTGTCAGAATAAGGATTAGATTCGCTATTGCCTCTATAGTGTAGTTGCATTCTTACCCACTCTAGAGAATTTGTGTGTATGTGTGCAAAATGCACTTGTGTGTGTGTTAGATCGTTTAATTTCCACTATATTCCACTAACAGTACGGATCCTTTGTGGTAATGAGTGCCTTATATACACAAACAGTGTGCCATGGATAAAGTGGCTTCTTCTGTAGGTATACACCACCTAATATAGGACACAGTGCACATGAATTTTCCAGTATTATGGTAGACAACTAGCAATTGCCTTTTATATGTCTGAATGATTGTCTTATTCAATGGGGCAGAATTAAAACATTTTATTGTAAAAACTCTTGTTCTGTTTTATTCATATTTACTTCTCTGATTATTATTTGAAATGTAATTTGTGCTAATAATAATGTAATAATAAAAATAAAAGGTACGACCCTTTGATATCTTAAGCCTCACAAAAATGTATTATGATCTATTGTGTGGATTTTTTATTTTTATGTTCCTTTTGGAAATAAATGGTATCCTACATAACTGTTTTGAATGTGGCTTACATATTTCCCTCAATTCACAAGTGGCTGTAAGATTTTGTTGCGTGAAAGACATACTATTGCACAGAAAAGCATTGTTTACAGGTTTTCATAATGTTTTAATGTCTGTGTTAATCCATTTATTTCTTTCCAATTTATAATTTCTAGTCAGTTTTTACAGATTTTTACACCGGTAATTAGATTCAGTGGTCAATAAAATGCCATTAAATCACTGCTGATTGAAACTTTGCATCACTTCAACGTTTTAATTAGTGTATAGTTTTCTGTTTTCTGTATATTCAGTTTGCTGAATTATACATATATAGTTTCTAGGTTTATTTTAGTATTATTTATAGACTATTATAGTATTTATTAATATTTTGAATTAGCCTTTTTTATATATTTTCAGCTTTCATTATAATTAAAGTGTATTTATTCATTTATTTTAGTTCTGTCACTTTAGTAGGCTACTAGTTCCCAGCTAAACAATCCTATTTTTTTTCTAAGTTTTTATCTAATATTTATATTTTATAGCTTTATTTCAGTTACGATTTTAATATATTTAGCTTTAGCAAACACTGGTTTCTGGGGGAAACCAGTTACAAAACATGACTAGTTTGACAAATATCCTAATAAATGTACTCCCTTGTAGTATTAAATCTATCTGTTAAAAAATAAACAGTCAAAGTTATGAAAACTCTGTCACCTCGAACTGACCCTATAGATAAAACAAGATGGATGGGTTACGAAAAGAAATTCACTGACTTCTATAATGAAATAAGCTGTGCTTGCATAACCAGCAAAACGGAGCAAAATTACCCTAAAAACTGAAGAAAATAAATGCTTTTGATTAATTTCATGGATTTTAAAGATAAGAGACTGGATAAGTCGTTCTAGAAGAGAAGAAATGAAAGTTTGTTCGAGTTATTTGTAGTATAAAACATGTTAGGCAACGCGATAGTTCTAGTATGGCAAGCCGTTTTAGCTTAAAATATTACCAGATCGTTATAATTGCATTTTAACTAGTAACAATTCATTTAGAGAGCTCCATAATTCAATTCCTACCAGTAACAATGCCAATTAGAGAGCTCTCTAAATCAACTTTTACTAGTTACAATTACAATTAGACAGCTCTCTAATTTAATTAGTAACAATTATGATTAAAGAGCTCTCTAATTCAATTGTTACTAGTAACAATTGAATTATGGAGCTCTCTTGAATTAAAGAGCTCTGCAATTACATTCTTACTAGTAAGAATTCAATTAGAGAGCTCTACAATTAAATTCTTACTTGGAAGAATTACAGTTAAACAGCTCTTTAATGCAATTCTTACTAGTAACAATTGAATTATAGAGGTCTCCATCTGAATTAGAGAGCACTGTAATTGGAATTCTTGCTAGTAATAATTGAATTAGAGAGCTCTCAAATTATAATTGTTACTACAATTGTTACATCACAGCCATATCACCCTGTAGCCCAAGACTGAGGAAGAATTACAGTTAAACAGCTCTTTAATGCAATTCTTACTAGTAACAATTGAATTATAGAGGTCTCCATCTGAATTAGAGAGCACTGTAATTGGAATTCTTGCTAGTAATAATTGAATTAGAGAGCTCTCTAATTATAATTGTTACTACAATTGTTACATCACAGCCATATCACCCTGTAGCCCAAGACTGGTTGTCCACTGAAGCTAAGCAGGGTTGAGCCTGGTCAGTACCTGGATGGGAGACCTCCTGGGAAAACTAGGTTGCTGCTGGAAGAGGTGTTAGTAAGGCCAGCAGGGGGTGCTCACCCTATGGTCTGTGTGAGTCCTAGTGCCACTATACTGTTAACAAGCACCGTCCTTCGGATGAGATGTTAAACCGAGGTCTTGACTCTCTGTGGTCATTAAAAATCCCAGCATGTCTTTCGAAAAGAGTAGAGGTGTGACCTCGGCATCCTGGCCAAATTCGCCCATTGGCCTCTGACCATCATGGCCTCCTAACAATCCCCATATCTGCCGATTGGCTTCATCACTCTGTCTCCTCTCCACCAATTAACTGGTGTGTGGTGGGCGTTCTGGTGCACTATGGCTGCCGTCGCACATTGAGGAGACTCCCCCTCACAATGTAAAGTGCTTTGAGTGCCTAGAAAAGCACTATATAAATGTTTATTATTATTATTATTATTGCTAGTAAGAACTGAATTAGTGAGCTCTGTAATTGGTATTGTTACTTGTAAGAATTTAATTGTAGAGCTCTCTAATTGAATTGTTACTAGTAAACATGCAATTACGACGAGTAACGGTGGGAGTGCCAGCGTTACTAAAGCGGCTTGCCATAGCTCTAGTAAAGGGTAAATACAGTCGGGCGGAGCAAAACGCCAGTGGAGCCCCGAAACATGAATGTTACATTGTGAACGCTTGATAGACAGACCGTCTTTGATAATGACTGTAATCTGTGGGTTGCCAACCGCCAATAAACACCAAAGAAGAAGAAGAAGACTGTGAATAAATGCTGCCATTAGGCCGAGGTATTTAGATTACACATGGAAGATCGGGACGCTTGGCGTTGGAAGTAAACTAGACATAGTGTTGGGAAACAGCTTGAACCTGAAGAAAGGGGTATTTTTTCCGTTATCGGCTATTAAAATGGAGGGTTATGAAGGAGCCAGCAGCAGCGAGAGTGTTTTAGATCTGTCCCGTCTGAATCTGAACAATAATAGTTTGGACACGGTCAGCGAGAAACGACGGAAAGACACGAAGCAACTGTACCTGCGTTACAACCGCATGACAGTTTTACCCGAGTCCATCTCTTTATTCTCGAGCCTGGAGTTTCTCGACATCAGTAACAACACGCTGTCGGTCATCTGCGAGGACATCACCCGACTGACCAAACTCAAAACCCTCATAGCCAAGAATAATCGTTTAAATGAGTTTTCTCTGCCCAAGCACTTTGGCTCTCTGCAGCTGGAAGTGCTAAATTTGAGTGGGAACAGGTTTGAGGAGATGCCGAGCCAGTGTCTGCAGCTGCTGCGGCTCCAGTCACTGTCTCTGGGAGGAAACAGACTGAAGAGCATCCCAGCAGAGATCGAGAGTCTCACCAGGTAATGCACAGCACAAACATCTGCTCACCAGGTAATGCAAAGCACAAACATCTGCACGCACCTTGACTTTCTCAAAACACTGCACAGCCTAGCCTAGGGAGCTCACATCGAGGCCGCCACTCTTTGCAGGACTGCCATACTACACTTTGCACTTGTGGTTTACTCGGTGTAATTAAAGTCTAATGATTAAATCGCCTAACTTCCCAGGTCATTCCCGTTAAGTGGTTCAGTGTCGCTAATCTCATGTGTCCTAATTTGTTGAACAAGATAGCAAACTCAGAGTTTTAAAAATATAGAAATTATATCATAATATTAATTTCAAATAATTTCACAACCTTGAGCAGATGTTATTTTTGTAATGTACCTGAGTGCCAACTTCCTGGAGCATGACGTCATTGTGTGACTAACACAGTGACGTCATGCTCCAGGAAGTGACATTAGGTAGGAGTGTATATCAGTAAGTGTAAAATGTAAATTGCTATAATGACTACAATGGTTATTTGATTTGACACACATAAGCTCACATCCTTGTTGCGGTAGTTATATGTATTTAACAATAGCTATGTTTACACGGAACCAAATGATGTTAGTTATAGTAATGTTAGATTGATGGCTAAATCGGACTGAAAATCAAATCCAATTGAGCTTGATCCAAATGAAATTTGATTTATACATCATATGAAAGCTGAATAAATAAGCTTTCCATTGATGTATGGTCTGTTAGGATGGGACTATATTTGGCCGAGATACAACTATTTGAATAAACTACTGGAATGTGAGGGTGCCAAAAATCTAAATATTGAGGACATCGCCTTTAAAGTTGTCCAAATGAAGTCCTTAGCAATACATATTACTAATCAAAAATAAGTTTTAATATATTTAATGTAGGAAATTTACAAAATGTATTCATGGAACATGATCTTTACTTAATATCCTAATGATTTTGGCATAGAAGAAAAATCGATAATTTTGACCCATACCCAATGACCCAATGTATTTGAATGAATGAATGAATGATGTATTTATATAGCGCTTTATTGTGTATTGCTGTACACCCAGAGCACTTTACAATCATGTGGGGGGTCTCTCCTCAACCACCACCAGTGTGCAGCATCCACTTGGATGATGCAACTATTTTTGGCTATTGCTAAAAATATACCCGTGCTACTAAAAACTGGTTTTCCAGGGTCACATATATCATCAAGGCAAAAGTGACTATTATCACGGTAGGGATGTATATTTGTGACGTTTTGTTACCTGAATGTAAATATACCTAATGTGTTAGCATTTATGTAGCAACTGTCTCACTGATCAAAAGTTTTATTGCCTTGTGTACATAATCAAGTTATAATTGTCTGGGTCTGTGACGCATAAAATTTAAGTGTAAAATTAGCTATATAGACCAAAATAATTTTTTGAACCAGGCTGTAAACATGATTTTTCTGCTGTAAAGTTGGGCATTTTAACATGGGGAGTCTATGGGATTGAATCCATTTTGCAGCCAGCCTCTAGCGGCCAGTTGACGAATTACAGTTTAAGTCACTTCCGTGTTGGCTTCACAAGAGAGAGCGGGAGGTTGCCGCTTGGTTGGCCCACATTACACACAGAGTTGGTCCTTTTTGAGAGATCTGGACCTCTTTTCCCTCTGCCATCTCTGCCTGCTGTGGCAATCGTAGAGACTAAGCCGAGATGGGCTGGCGAAAGGAATGAGGTATTGAAGCAAAAATGAATGCCTCTCTTCAGGGAGGACAACAAATGGACAAAGTGGCCAGTAGGGAAAAACACTAGAAGATCTCTCACTCGCTCCTTTGCTCTCAGTGCCTCATTCTTTTGGAGAGGAAGGTTTCCTTTCATTTCCATGGGAGGTTAAAAAAAGATTCTCAGCAATGAACTGAGATGAATCACAATGTTACAAACTTTGATTTGAGGCAGAAAAGACAAAGGTACAAAACAATGTACTTAATCTAGTCATCTCATAAAGTGCTGGACGTGTGTTGTCTAGGACAGAAGTGTTTGTGATACAACAATCGGAATGTTTGCAGAATATATCTTTGTTATCATGAAACACTGACCTGTATTGGCTTAAAAACAGTTGAAGGTGAGCGATTTCCTCATAGCCTTTGCGTGTTAGTGGTGATCTTTTTTGCATGTCTGCATTTCCTCACTGGAAGGCTTCCTACCAGTATAAGAAAACTCTAGTTCCCTTTCAGTCAGTCACGTTCTACGTTACGTCAGTCGTGACTGACGAATTGGGATCTCGCCCGAGAGCCCAATCACCTTCGAGTGTAAACTAAACAAGCCAATGACAGTTGGCGTGCGTGTTTCGCCATGCGCACCTGCCCCGCAGCGCGGGTATAAAAGGAGAGTGCGTGCAAACGCACATCAGCTTTTCGCTTCGGAGCTGAGCCTTCTACTAGGACGAATCTCTGCGAGTGTCTGCAAAGAAACAGCCTAGCGTTGGTGTTACGGCGCGTCAGCGGGGGTTGCCATTCAGTGCTGCTCATCTTCGGCGTGCTGCAACTTCCATTCTGCGGTCTCGCCGCGACCTCCCCTGGGCACTTCAGCGCTCTCTCTAAAAGAGTGTTTCTATTTTTCTGAAAGAGCAAATATCTAAAAGAGCTCCACGAGCGACGGGCGTCTTTTTAAAGATGGCTTCCCGCTCGTGCGTTTCTGGATGTGGTCGCTTCCTGGCTTCATCTGACGGTCATGATCACTGTGTCTCGTGCTTGGGCTTACAGCACGCTGAAGTAACGCTCATGGATGAGTCATGTTCTCAGTGTGGGAACATGGCCATCACGACGTTGCGGTCTAGATACCTCCTCATTAAACGGGGGGGTATCCCCCTTGCCATGCCCCGTTCTAGCTCCTCCGGTTCTCGGAGGGCTACTTCGGTTCATGGTCAGGGAGATCGGAGGATCACGGTGAGAGCTTCCCCGTCGAGTACGTCTCCGCGGGCCTCTCATTCCTCTAGCGCATCGCACCGCCTGGGGTTCCCGGATGAGTTTGCTGGTTCCTCGGACAAGGCAGGGCCCAGCATCTAGTGTGGAGCGCAGGCAGATGACAGGATGTCGATCGCTGCATCGGAGGGCGAGCTAGGCTCTGGAGATGAGGATTCGGCTGCGCTGCCTCCGTCAGGAAGAGTGGCGTTGCCCGAGTCAGATCCAAAGCTGATTGCTATGCTTTCCCGGGCCGCCGAGAGCGTCGGGCTGCACTGGAGGCCTCCTCCTTCTCCCGAACTCTTGAGGCTGCACGATTGGTTCCTGGGGACCGCCTCCGGTTCCATTCTACACGGAAGTGCATGTGGAGGTTACTAAGTCTTGGAAGGCACCTTTTTCAGCCCGAAACAGACTTGGTGCCTCCTCCGTCCTCACCATCCTCGATGGTGGGTCGGCCCAAGGGTATGTGGACATCCCCCCCGGTCGAGCGCGCTATTGCCATGCAGCTCTGCCTGCAAAGCGCTGCCACCTGGAGGGGTAGTCTCCAGGCGGTAAGTTCTTGTCCGCTCTGACGGCTAAGGCTTACAGTGCTGCTGGACAGGCCGCTTCCGCCCTGCACGCCATGGCCCACCTGCAAGTCCACCAGGCCAAGGCTTTGAAGCAGTTGCACGAGGGTGGTGCTGACCCAGCACGGGCCCTGGGTCAGACGATGTCCACATTGGTGGTCTGACCTTGGCGGATATGAGGGAGGCCGACAAGCATCACTTCCTGGACTCCCCGATCTCCCAGGCCGGCCTATTCGGCGAAGCGGTGGAGGGCTTTGCCCAACAGTTCTCCGCCGCGCAGAAGCAGACGGAGGCATTTCGACAAAGCATCCTGCCCCAGCGGTCTGCGGCTGTCGCCCCATCGCCGGCTGCAGCCCCTCTGTCTGCTCGTCACCGAGGGTGCCCTCCTGCGACCTCCACCGCCGCTTCGGCACGGCCTCAGCAGCAGCCTTCACAATGCCGCAGCATGGAGCTGGCCGCAGGAAACCGGCGCAGCCCGCCTCCGCCCCTGCCAAGCCCGTGAAGCCCCTCTGTCTGCTCGTCACCGAGGGTGCCCTCCTGCGACCTCCACCGCCGCTTCGGCACGGCCTCAGCAGCAGCCTTCACAATGCCGCAGCGTGGAGCTGGCCGCAGGAAACCGGCGCAGCCCGCCTCCGCCCCTGCCAAGCCCGTGAGGCGCCAGGGGGGAGAATCCTTTGTTCCAGTTTTGTTCTGTTGCCTCCCGGGTTGGGTCCCTGTGTTCCACTTCGCTGCCCCACTGCGGGTACGTCGGTGGTTCCCCTAGTCCCGCTTGTTCGGTCGCTGGGGGCCTGGTTAGCGCTCCCCAGGCCGTCTCGCTGGCTCATGACAACCATCAGACTCGGCTACGCGATTCAATTCGCCCAACGCCCTCTCCAGTTTAGGGGCATTCGGTTCACCTCTGTGCTGGACAGGGATGCTCCTGTCTTGCATGCAGAGATCGCGGTCCTGCTGGTGAAGGACACGATATAGCCGGTCCCTCCAGCCGAGATGAGGTCGGGTTTTTACAGCTCGTACTTCATCGTACCCAAGAAAGGCGGTGGGTTACGACCAATCCTGGACCTGCGCATGCTGAACCGGGCCCTTCACAAGCTCCCGTTCAGGATGTTGACGCAGAAACGCATATTTCAATGCGTCCGTCCTTTCTATTGGTTCACAGCGATCGAACCCAAGGACGCGTACTTTCATGTACTTTCTCCCTCGACACAGACCATTTCTCCACTTTGCGTTCGAAGGGTGAGCGTATCAGTACAAGGTCCTCCCCTTCGGGCAGTCTCGAGCGCAGTTGTGCGAACACAGGGACACGGTGCTCAGTCACCTCAGCCGGTTGGGGCTTCAGGTCAACTGGGAAAAGTGCAAACTCTCCCTGGTGCAGAGGATCTCTTTTCTCGGCATGGAGCTGGACTCGGTCAACCTCCCTGCACGTCTCTCAGTATAGCGTGCACAGTCGATGCTGAACTGCCTGGGGTCCTTCCAGCGCAAGACGGCGGTTCCACTGAAACAGTTTCAGAGGCTCCTGGGGCATCCGCAGCCGCGGGTTGCTTCATATGAGACCGCTTCAGCGTTGGCTTCACGACCGGGTCCCGAGATGGGCATGGCGACACGGCACATACCGGGTTTCAGTCACCCCGTTCTGCCATCAGACCTTCAGCCCGTGGTCAGATCTTGCCTTTCTTCGGACGGGGGTGTCCCTAGGACAAGTATCCAGGCATGTTGTTGTGTCAACAGATGCCTCCGCCAGGGGCTGGGGTGCCATGTGCAGTGGGAATGCAGCTGCGGGGCTCTGGTCCCTCCTTGGCAAATTCCTCTGAGTAGGGATCTCCTTTCTCAGAGAGGGGGCACCCTCTGGCACCCGCATCCAGACTTGTGGAAGCTCCACTTGTAGTCCCTGGACGGGATGCAGAGGATCTAGGTGGGCTACCTCCAGCGGTAGTAAACACCATCACATCTACCAGACACGCTTACAGGCTGAAGTGGAACCTGTTCGTCGATTGGTGCTCTTCCCGCTGGGAAGACCCCCGTAGATGACCGATCGGAGTCGTGCTTTCTTTCCTGCAGGATGGGTTGGAGCGAAGGCTGTCTCCCTCCACCCTTAAAGTGTATGTTGCCGCCATTGCCGCGCATCACGAGGCAGTAGACGGTAAGTCTTTGGGGAAGCACGACTTGGTCATCAGGTTTCTCAGAGGGGCAAGGAGGTTAAATCCTCCGTGCCCTCACCTGTACCCTCTTGGGATCTCCCCTCGGTTCTGACGGCCTTGAAGGAGGAGCCTTCGAGCCTCTGCAGTCGGTAGAGCTTAAGTTTCTGTCGTTGAAGACAGTGCTCCTCACCGCATTGGCCTCGGTCAAGAGGGTAGGGGACCTGCAGGCATTTTCGGTCAACGATTCGTGCCTAGAATTCGGAACGGGTAACTCTAACGTTGTCCTGAGACCCCGGCCTGGATACGTGCCCAAAGTTCCCACCACGCCTTTTAGGGATCAGGTGGTGAACTGAACTTGCAAGCGCTGCAAGGAGGCAGACCCAGCCATCGCTCTGCTCTGTCCCGTTCGCGCTCTGCGCATTTACGTGGACCGTACGCGGAGCTTCAGGACGTCAGACCAGCTCTTTGTCTGCTTCGGAGGACAGCAGAAGGGAAAGGCTGTCTCCAAACAAAGACTTGCCCACTGGTTAGTGGAGGCTATAGTCTTAGCTTACCAGGCCCAATGGTTACCGTGCCCCCTCGGAGTGAGAGCTC